TGATTCGTAATAAACCCGTGAAAGTGATAAATCAGATACAATGAAATATATGAAGTTCATATATTTTGAACTGCGGTATTAGATACGTATGATGCACGATCCTCGCAGTAGATAGCGCTATTTAAGCAATAGCGAAAATCAGACCTGAAAAAAATCAGGCCTGTACGGGATTCGAACCACTGACCTCTGCGATACTAGTGCAGCGCTCTTACCAATTGAGCTAACAAGCCAACTGGGAGCAGGCCGTTAAGTTGATTCGTAATAAACCCGTGAAAGTGATAAATCAGTACAATGAAATATATGAAGTTCATATATTTTGAACTGCGGTATTAGATACGTATGATGCACGATCCTCGCAGTAGATAGCGCTATTTAAGCAATAGCGAAAATCAGACCTGAAAAAAATCAGGCCTGTACGGGATTCGAACCACTGACCTCTGCGATACTAGTGCAGCGCTCTTACCAATTGAGCTAACAAGCCAACTGGGAGCAGGCCGTTAAGTTGATTCGTAATAAACCCGTGAAAGTGATAAATCAGATACAATGAAATATATGAAGTTCATATATTTTGAACTGCGGTATTAGATACGTATGATGCACGATCCTCGCAGTAGATAGCGCTATTTAAGCAATAGCGAAAATCAGACCTGAAAAAAATCAGGCCTGTACGGGATTCGAACCACTGACCTCTGCGATACTAGTGCAGCGCTCTTACCAATTGAGCTAACAAGCCAACTGGGAGCAGGCCGTTAAGTTGATTCGTAATAAACCCGTGAAAGTGATAAATCAGTACAATGAAATATATGAAGTTCATATATTTTGAACTGCGGTATTAGATACGTATGATGCACGATCCTCGCAGTAGATAGCGCTATTTAAGCAATAGCGAAAATCAGACCTGAAAAAAATCAGGCCTGTACGGGATTCGAACCACTGACCTCTGCAATACTAGTGCAGCGCTCTTACCAATTGAGCTAATAAGCCAACTGGGACCACTGACCTCGTAATAAACCCGTGAAACCGATAAATCAGTACAATGATACGTATCTAATACCGCAGTTCAAAATATATGAACTTCATATATTTCATTGTACTGATTTATCACTTTCACGGGTTTATTACGAGGTCAGTGGTTCGAATCCCGTACAGGCCTGATTTTTTTTCAGGTCTGATTTTCGCTATTGCTTAAATAGCGCTATTTACTGCGAGGATCGTGCATCATACGAACCTTATCCTATTTTGTTCCGATCCTAATTTACTGATTTTTTAAATTTGACAAATCGATAGTGGTTTAGTGTGATCTGTATTCGTTCTCTCGTCGCTCATTCATCTATTTGTCTGTGCATTACGTAATGCGTATCCGTAAGGATAGTCTACGGACCCGTTTGTGTGATGGCTGGGTCAGAGGGCCTGGGCTATAGTGTAGTTCTTCAGTAATTTCAAGTTACCCGGAAACACAGGAAGTGAAGCTAAGGTTTCTAAGAATTAATTTCACGTGGGCTGATGATGAATCGGTCAGCCAAAGTACACAGCTGGGACACAGTGTACATTGTTTCGAACGATCAAATTCAGGTTAGCCATTTTCTATAGCCAATGAAAATGTCAGTTTCACTCTTATCGTTTTAATTGTGTATTTTCACCTGCAAGGATTGCGAGATTGTGGATCATTAGGCGGAACTTAACTCTACTGTCTTGCCGTTGCCTCTTTTCATCTAATCGATACCGGAGATCAGTGCAAGCAGGAGATTGAAGCGAATTTGAAGCCCATAGAGTGGGAAGTAAGCTAATTTTATAATTTTTTAATTATATCGTACTCACAACTAAATTCAACTATACCAAGATATTGCTGATAGCATTCTTTAAGAAAATATAGATATGCATTTAATAATGGAGGTTATCAATATCTGTTTGAAGGTCCGCCAGAGTGAGTTAGCGATATGTAGTTAAAAATCGTTAGGAAGTTTCCTTTCTTTAGCATTTACATCATTAGAGTAACTTCACTTCATTAAGCCAAAATCTAAAGAGAAATGAAAGGTATCTGAAAAATGTGGGAGCAGTTCGCATTGTAAATCACTCCACTGTTCACAGGCAGCCCAAGCTCACTACCAGAAAAGCGGACGTGACTCTTACAGTGTTGCGCAACCACAGGGAGCCCAGACAAGCGACGAGTCTGGTTGTTTATTCGAAATATAAAGAAATGTATGGGAGAATATTGAAGAGTCTTATTATCGTAAACTTATATCATGAAATGTCTGAGTTAAAGCTCAAAATAAATGTAAACCTACCCCACTTGCCGTGTATTGTCGTTTCTCTGGCTCTAAATGGCGAATTTGAGCGATTTGGTGGTCGTTTGCGTCTCCTTATACCGTATAGTAACAGTCGACGCAAAATCCACCAAATCGCTCAAATTCACCATTTAGAGCCACAGAAACGACAATACACAGCAAGTGAGGTAGGTTTACATTTATTTTGAGCTTTAACTCAGACATTTCATGATATAAGTTTACGATAATACGACTCTTCAATATTCTCCCCTACATTTCGAATAAACAACCAGACCCGTCGCTTGTCTGGGCCCCTGTGGCGCAATGTCTTATATTTATGAAGGTTTGTATGGGATGTTATCGGTTTGCCTTAAAAGAGAGAATAAAATGTCTTGTTTTGATATGAAATGGACTTACCTTATTGCCTTGTTGTTTTCTTTGTTGATTACCAGCGTCTCAGCCATTTTGAAGCGTTTTCGGCGAGTTAGCGCCATTTTGGTGTTCAACTGCTAAAATAAAGTCTTTATTTTATTTCAAAACAAGACATTTTTTTTCTCTTTTAAGGCAAACCGATAACATCCCATACAAACCTTTATAAATATAAGACGTTGCGCAACACTGTAAGAGTCACGTCCGCTTTTCTAGAAGTGAGCTTGGGCTGCCTGTGCACTGTTAGGAAGACTCGTCAAAGTTCGTTGGGGGTCTCTTTCTGTGTGTCTCTTTGTCTCTCTCTTTCTCTCTCTCTCTCTCTCTCTCTCTCTCTCTCTCTCTCTCTCTCTCTGTCTCTGTCTATTCACGGAAAACCAGAACCTCAATAGCGAGTCTCGTATTAGTTGTTTCCTATTCCTCTTTTTGTGTCTCCGGAATAAAACTAGCTATTTTGATTCACTTTCGACTTCAAACAGAGTTTTAAGACCTTCCACGGCTAAGCGGTCTTTCAGTTACCGTTACACGGTAGAATCTGAGTACGAGATAAATTGCCGATCAAAACGTTTTGTTGTGATTGAAGAGAGAGTTATGCCTCTAACTTTTCAACCAGGTATTTTCTGACATTTTTATAATGCTATCCTCGGAATAAAGGTGATCTTTTTTTTCAAACCTGTTGATTAGGCCCTTATAAATTGTGCTAGCATAACTTTTGGTATAATTTGGAAAAATGAACATAATTTTTGCACCATTCTTCAGCATGGGTAACACTGCTAGCAAAAATCACCATATTTTTATTTTTATTTTAAAGAAATATTATCAGAATCAATACTTGCTTCAAGTTTGGTCCACTGTTCACTATATTTTCAATTTTGCTGTGTGTTGAGGGAAGGAGACGATTTTATTCAGTGAATGGCACAGGCTTACTAGAAAAAAAATGCTTAGAGTGCTAGAGTGCTCCTAATAGGAGTAGTAGCGCAGAAATATCATTGTAATAAAATATCTCTCAGTCGACACTGGACTATTTTGAACTCTTTAGCCCACGAATTTTAGCTTAGATGCTTTACATTACTAATAATTAGTTAATTTGGTTAGGCAGGGGAAGTTAAAGAACCCACTCACGGAATTACTGTGATGTGGTCTAGCCTGTTTACTGGGAATCGGGGGGAGGGGCATCTTCAAATAAGTTTCCTTCGATTGTTTGTAAACTGCTTATGCAGTCCGGCCAAAGTCCCCCAAAAAGTGTTGTGATGCGCATTTGATCATATCCACATGCTAATTTGCACAATATAAATATTGAATTATTATTATTATTATTATTATTATTATTATTATTATACACGCATAAAACACACACTTCAAAACCTCATGTTCTCCAGCACAATTCATATAAGAAAGACAGTGTAGTTCTTCTCTTACAACTTATTGACCTCCCTATCCTAGCAGTGAACAGGAAGTTTGTCACCATGGATCTAGTAAACTGACCTAACCTACCACAAGTGTCCTAAGGCTCAGTTGTAGAGCATCTGAAGTACTAATTGGAGGGTCGTATGTTCGACTCCTATTAGGAGATATATTAACAAACCTTCAGCCCCACAATTTATCGATATTTCATCGGTTTATGGTTTCAGGGTCAGCTTTATCTGCAAATTCTGTTTGAAAGCTTATGAGAACATGGCTAGTCCCGAAGTACCTAACGACTTAGCTGACGCTGGTGGGACAGAGTCCAACATAAAGGGCCCTCAAGTTGAGGTAAATTCTGTAACACGTCCAATTAACCTCAAGTGAATTGACACATATTCCTTTGCTCTAATGAAGGGCTAACGCTCGAAACATCAGCTTGATAAATCCGAATTATCTTCTAATACCCCCCACCGACGCAGCTCCACAGTTTTTCTAATTGGACAATGAGCAGTCAGCTTTCGCAGCGCTGAAATTTTTTCCTCGTTGCTTTCTCTTGACGAATGGCTGAACTAGGAAAGAGGGATTATCCTCTGTCTGATAGTTTATTTAATGCCATTAATAATTAGTGAAATAACCGTTTCATGTACCGCTCCAGAAGAGTAAGCCATTTACCGTCCTCATACAGTTTCTTTATATTCCAAGCTCAATCATTATGATGTGGTAGGGATTTGCAAGAGATCGTTGCGAACCAATTTTCTTTTGATTAATTCAAGTGGTATTGACAGTTCGTCGTTTTAATTGTGTCTTTTTGTTTTTTTTTTCTCTTGCGTTTTTAGACGAACGGGTCATACAATGAATAATTTGTGGAGGTTTGATCGAAAAGTCTAGTCGATAATCCTAACAACATATCAACAACAGTTCTTTTAAGAGCAATGATGCTATGATTTAAGTTATCACAGGCAATTTCTTTTTATCAAAAACGGTGGGGAAGATTATTCGCAGTCGCGCTTGGTTTAATTTGGCATCTCATATCGATTGGACAGGTGTTGCGAGGTTTGTTCACCAATCGCAGATCGAAAAGTAACAAACATGTAGTCCCAGTTTTCAGTTTTCGAAATTCATCCCGCAAAGCCTTATCTGTAGCTTCTTAACACGCTGAACACTCTGTGTAACGAGATTCTATTTTTATTAAACCCATAGGCGTCTGCAGCGAAAGAAGAAATCAACATCCTCATACTGGGAGAGACTGGAGTGGGCAAATCCACGTGGATTAATGGTATTGCCAACTATGCAAAGCACGAGTCTCTCCAAGACGCTATGAACGACCCTGATTTCACCGTCTTGATTCCATCTAGGTAATATTTGAATGAGAGCCAATGCTCACCACTGTGTGGTGATCCTTCGTGCATGATAATTCCGCCTGGAAGATTTAGACTCCTGAAAATTTTTTTGGTTATTTCAGATTTACTTTCACAAATGAAATTGGAGAAGAGATAAACATCGCCTTTGGGGCTGCTGATGATAATGAAGTTCTCTCTAGTGGTCAATCTGCTACTCAATTTCCTCAGGAGTACAGACTTGAGACCAACACCACAATCTTCTACCTTATTGACACTCCGGGCATTGGAGACTGTAGAGGAATTAAAAAGGACAAGGAGAACTTCGAAAACATCTTGAGCTTTCTTACCTGCTATGAAAAAATCAACGCCGTGGTTGTTCTTCTCAAGCCTAACAATGCAAGGTTGACAGTGGCCTTCAAGTTTTGTGTCTTAGAACTTCTGACTCACCTCCACAAGTCCTTGGTTTCCAACATCATGTTTGCCTTTACCAACTCCAGAGGGACTTTCTACAGACCAGGAGACAGCCTTCCAGTTCTTAAAAAGCTCCTCGATGACAATAGTATCGAAATAGATGTCTCTCCCTCGAATTATTTTTGTTTTGACAACGAGGCTTTCAGGTAATTTGGTGTTAACTTAAAGTGAAGGAGCCATTATCGATATTTCGAGTCATTTTTTGCGCTGTGTGAAACTATCTTCAGTTTAGAGGAGACTTCGAAATACTAGCTCGGTAAGATAGAAAAACAGAAGGCATTCACAGAACGTGAAAGAACGAGGATGTAGATGATTAAAACAGATTTACGCTTAACTCATTAAGTGGAATCGAGCTAGTTTATTCAGTTTTTTTTCCCTCCCTCAACAGGTTTCTGGCCTGTCACAAGAGTGGAATTAACTTCACATCTGAGGACATTGATCTCTACTCCAAAAGCTGGGTGAAGTCATGCGATACCACCTGCAGACTTTTCGAACGTGTAAAGAGTATGACGCCCCATGATACTAAGAAGACCCTAAGCCTTAATGAGGCGAGGAATTGCATCATTGCCCTGAGCAAGCCAATGGGTCAGGCAGTTGAGCTTATTGAGATGAATTTAAAGAAGATCAAAGATGTGAAAGACCAGTGCCAGACATTCGAAAAAGACATCAAGGAATTCCAGAGGGAACTCAGATTTAAAGGCTTTGATCTAGAAGTAGAACCTCTTGACTATCCCATGACAGTTTGTGCCGCCACTGCTTGCAAGAGGTATGTACCAGTCGGAAAATCAGGCCAGCAAAACATTGTTTATGAGCAAGTCTGCCATGATCACTGCAATCTTTCAGGAGTTGCAATCGAGACAACCAACAACGATCAGCTCCATGGCTGCTGCGCTATGAGTGATGGCAAGTGCAGGTTCTGTGGACACAACTACAGAGAGCACATGCATATCCGCTACACAGCCAATGTCGTTGAGAAGGAATTCCTGTCAGAGGAAGCGCAGTCGGAAATCAAAAAGAAGACCGACTTGAAGTCCCAAAAGCAATCGTTCATCAGAGAGTTGGAGAAGAACATCAAGGAGCTTGAAGAAGAAAAGAAGTTCATCTATGAGTGCGCCAGCTACTTTGGTGTCTTCCTCAAGCAGAATGCCATGCTTGCCTATAACGACTCCTTTTGTGAGTACCTGGACATGCTGATAAGGGAAGAGGAAATGAAAGAGAAGGTGATTAGAGACGAAGGGAAGATTGCTCAAATGAAGAAGGACAAGCAGACGTATGAGGAAAAGAAGAACGTCATCATTGAAAACATTAAGAAGGTCCCAGCGGATGGCAAGAAAGCGGAAGTCATGCCAATAGAGAAGATCAATGAGATGAGAGCAAAGCTTTGTTCCCTGAGGCACAATGGAAAGACTTTAAGAGAGGCTCTAGGTATGGCTTTTTCCTAATCTACTTCATAGCATTCGTGGGATGGAAGCACAGTGGATGAGAAAGGGCTACCCACAACACCTTGCTCACCGTTGCCACCTGCGTGCTAAGAGGACGACTAGGTATGCGTCAGGCATGGTGCATTGTGGAAGCTCCCGTTTTTCCCCAAAAAGAATCTTACTCACTCAAACACTGCCCACTATGTCCACTTGCACGTAGGGTAGCAACAAAGACCCGCCACTGCTGGGTATCCTTGGCCACCCCCCACAAGTTTTTATTTTCTCTTGCTGCTTCACCAGTGTGCGGAAACTTGAAGCCCGTCTTTGTAAATGGGTCCTCTACGGTAAGCAATATTTTGGAAGACTCTTCATCAGTATATTTTACCTTTATTTTTGTAGATGGCATCATTTCAACAAGACTGAAGAATCATAAAACCAAAGCAGTAAGGTAAGAGCTGTGCATTATTTTAAGTGTAGGAGCGGATTGCTTATAAGTTAAGTTTTATCTTGCATTATCATCTAGCCAAAATTGACATTTGGCATTTTCTAAATGTTAGGCAAGAGAAAAAAAAAGTTCTTACATTACTACAATCACAGTCATTGACTGAATTACATAGATAAATCATGACTACTAAAGGGCTTTGGTTTATAGTTCATTTTCCCTTTGTCTTGCTGGGTATAAAGCATTTTTATGGGTCTTTTTTAACATGGTTAAACTCTTTCTAAAACTCATTAACCTTATTCTACTTTAGCAAGAGCTGTGTGTATGCCAAAACCAACAATTCCTGGATTCCTGGATTCTTCTATAAGATAAATCCATTTAAATCATGGGGGAGCAAAAGGAGAAGCAACTTTAGCATCTCTCAGTTCTAAAAGATTCTATTACACTGAGGAGAAAACAGATGAGAATGCATTTGTGTGTTGGTAACAAGACCCTTCAATGCAAGTATTTGGAACTGACAAAAAAATGTTTACTTATTTCTCAATTATTTTCTTATGCTAATTGAGAGTGGTTTTAGAATGTCTTAAACCAAGACCAAACCCATCCACGCAACAAATCAGAATATTGGTACAAAGTGCAAGGAGCGAATCAGAACTCAAAGTAAGTGCACGTGACCGCCTCCGTAAGTGAATAAGGCTTGACCAAGTCACCGTTGGTTTTGGTCTGTGTCTGATTGGTTGGAAGGGTTGCGAAAGTTTCTTAGTCAATTACAAAGGGAGGTGAAGGTGAAACTTCTCCGGAAGCTCAGTTAGAACTTGGTCTTCTCTACTAGTAGAGCACTTTTTGATTGAGCGTCTTAAGATCAAAACCAAAGGAATTGCAACAGCCAATCAGAGTGAAATTAGATGTTCCAAGGAGCCGATGGGAGTTTAAAGAAAAAAAAACGACAAAAAAGTATTAAAAACAAAACAGGCCGCTTCGAGCACTCGAAAACTCGGGACAATTGGTCTTAGTTTTGCATCTGATTAGTTAAGATAATGCCTTCAATTTTTTTGGACCAATCAGAGAGCGAGGCAAACCAAACCAAAACGACACGGGAATACATTCGACACTCCATTGAAAACCGCTCTATTAGGTATGTCAAGATTCGTTACCACAAGTTAAAAATATTAGAAATATATAATGTATCTTTATAATCATGTAATTTCTCATCTGGGTGCTATGTAAGTTCATTGTAACCTAAATCAAACATATACATTGTAAGCTACAGTATTTTCGGTTTACTCTCCAGTTATTAAAGACGATAGGAAGATTTTGGTAAGCAACCATTGTGCGTGGACATGTATCAAAACTTCCTACAGAGATAGATTCTTTTTGACATGGTTTCTTCAGTTAGTTAGTTAGCCAGGCAGGAAAATACGAAAAAGATCTGCATAACTGCAACCAAGTTTCGTTTAACCAGTTCAACTCGTTTTAAATTTGCTCAGCGTAATGCCAGAGATGAACAGATACTGGAGCTAAAGAAAACAATTCTTAGAAACTTAACTCCAGTGCATGCCTTTCACAGGGCAAAGAAACCCCCATCTGTTTTATGTTCGTTTCCCGGCTTCGTAAGGAACTGCAGCAACTTTTACTTTGTAGATATATAAAACGTGCATAAAAGAGATTAAAAAAGGGTAAACTGAAATTGGGATTAAAATAAACTTTTTAAAAGTAACTGATGTTCTGCTTTCGTAAACTTTCTCTGTGTTACATGTTTTACGTTTTATGCTTTTTGTGTGTGTGTGTGTGTGAGTGTGTGTTTCTGCCATTCAGATCTAATCCGTTTCTGCGAACTTCTGGATCATACGTGAGACCTGGGGCGCGTAGTAAGGGAGGAGTTGGACCTCAATTCTAACCAAAGACTCTAGTCCAATTCCATACAAAAATTCACACCTGATTCACTATTGGATTTAGCTATTTACGTGAAACGTCAGACTTCAGCTTTCTCTTTCAAGTTTCACGTAAGATAGCTAGCGTGAACCTTGCTGCTTTAGCTTCCCGTGAGCCCACGCGCCACGTCGTGCTGGAATTGAAGGCGTCCTTGTATGACCCTTTTCCCGGCAATTTAGTTCTACTCTGTGAGGGAAAAAGGTGAAGAAAATCCTACGTACACGGCAAACCCGAAACAGGTTACTGTTTCTTAGAAACGGCAAAGCGGAATCGGCAAACGCGGATAAATGGCGGGAAAAACAAGGTCACGTGGTCAATCTTACCGTTCACGTTTCACGCAAACGCAGTGCTAAATCTCCCTAATGTAAATTGACGGCGGAGGGGGGGAGTGACTACCATAAGTGATGTGGGGCTAGATGTGGGGCTCTAATTGCACAAATATATCTATCTTTCGTGTTTTAGGGATTATGTTTTACAGATACCCAGAGTTGTAGGTTTTCATCGCTGGCGATGATGCTTTGTGGACTTTGACCTGTGCATAGGAAATTTTATGAACACATGGGTGCAATTCGTGATTGATATGAACGGATGATTTTTTTCAAGTTTTCGTGATTCAAACATCACTATCCAAGGCTGTAGCCAGACTTCAGGACAAGACGAGGCAATTTTCGAGCGCTAAAGGCGCGAGCCGCTAGGGGGGTCTGGGGGCATGCCCCCCAGAGAATTTTGAAATCTAGAGGTTCTGAAATGCTCTTTTAAGGATATTTCGTGGCATTTTTCTTCAGAAAAGTCAATCTTCAAGAAAAAAAATTTTAAAAAAGGCCAAAATCAAGACGAGGCAATTGCCTCGTCTTGCCTCATGCTAGCTACGGCCCTGCTATCTCAGCGATGCTCAGTCGAGAAAAATAGCAGCACCAGTAAAAATAATGATAAAGATAAAAACAAAAAGACAAACAAACGAACAAAGGAACAACAACAACAACAACAACAAAAAGAACAAAACAAAACAAAACAAACAAACAAAAACAACAAAAACAAAAGAAAACCTTACCAGACCGAAAAAAACTAAACCCAAAGGCATTTACAATACAGTTTTTGAGCGGTATGGCCAGCGAACGTTGAAGATCGTTAGAGAATATGAGAGAGATTTAACACACTTCAACAAATCTTCTCTGGATTTCACATCTTCCCCTTAAAATAGGTAAATAAATAAATAAACAATTAAAAACAAAGGAAACAAAAATAATGAAAAAGTGTAGGAATTAGGAATTGGACTG